AGCTGCACCGACTCTTTGTAATCATGGATTTCATAACTCCCGCTCTAATTCTATCAGAATGACTTAATAAGTAATTTTAAATGAACCTATAATTTGTGTGTACCCTAAACACATTTCTACTCATTTTGTTTTCTTTTTTGCTAACTATGACAACTAGAAAAGGTAGACTATCATTCTTTTTTAGTTTCATGATGAAATTGATATTCCAATCTATTCCATTCATAAACTTTGGGAATTCTCCTAAACTTTCTTTGCATTATTGTCATACGGAAAATGTAGCCATCAATGTATCTAACCCAGAATTTGGGGACTAAAAACGCTTCTTTTATTAGCAGACCTTCCAATTAAGCCATCTAGTTATTTGCTAAAATTGAGGACAACCATGATCCATAGCTAAGCCTAGTGTTTGTTCGTACAGTTTACTATCCAAAGTAAAATATGTACAGCTCATCACTAAATTCACCAACCTCATTATTGACTCTTTACCTAAATTTGTATTGCCCAGAATAAACGGGTTTTGATCCAAGATCAATTCTAAGGCCTGAGTAGCTCCGCATACAAGGATATTGGTGTACATCGAAACTAATATGCAAAGCTCCACCTTGTAAAATGTCCTAACTAGAAGATTTGCCTTATTTTCTGACCGATATATCGCGATGTTATATGCATCACTCTGTCCTTGTTTTTAAAAATACTAATTAATAGGATTTCTTCTCTATGCTTTTGAGCAAACCATATGCATTCGGAAGCCTGGCATCTCGTTGAACAAGTGTGTTCATTTTCCAATTCTCTAATTCCACTTTGGTCTAATGACAAACACTTAGCTAGATATGGAGAATATACCAGTAAGCGGAAGATTAGGGAATCTATAGAAATCGACAAAAAGGCCAACACTGCGGTGACAATGTAGGATCAGAAAATATATATTTTAAGGGAGGATGCAGCCATTCGGTCACAATTGCATCGACTTCACCCTTCATTTGCAGCAACTTCCCATGTCACCCGCAGTCACTTTACCTTGCAATAGCAGGTGGGAAAAACATAGGATCTCCAACGAAATTATGAAATGTCTCACTAAGTACCAAACTATAAAAAATAGGTAGGATTGCAGCCGACAACCCTTCTTATTTAAGTACCTTCTATTTCGTTTGAAGGGGATTCGTAAGTTGGTCTCACCGGAAGCTGTTAGTTAATATTATATCATCATTCCTCACATTCAACGTGTCCCCCAATATATTTATATTGCCCTAGAGCTGTGAGTGTAGATACATGCGGATAGGTCCTCAGAACATCGCCCTGCGACCCCGATGAATCATTGTTGAGCTTTCATCCGTCATGTGACGAACATTGCGGCATCTTAGCTTTTTGCTTGATGAATTATTGGAAATCACTGTGTCCCGCTCTTATAATTTCCGTCATACGGAAGAAAGCTCAGCAAGGATTCATCAGTCGCAGGGCAGTGCGCCGACGATTTATTCGCACAAATATAAAGTCACAGCTCGAGGCAAGTCGCCCTACAACTTCCGGTGAGGCCAGATTGCGAATCCCTTCCACTCACTTCCTTAAACAAA